ATAAAGAAATGACTTAACCTTGGCAACCATGTTAAGGCTCTCTCTACTGCCACTGCCAAAGACTATAAAGAAGAAACCACCTGCTGTGACGTGCCTATGGAGGGTAAAGGTGGCCATGTTCTGGTCTATCAGAGCCCAGGGCCAACTGACCAACAATCTCGATGAGGTAGGCCAGGACCACTCCATCCCGGAGATCCTGTCGCAGGTCCTGCACTGGCTTCACCGCCGGCCTCTTCTTCAGCTGTGCATTCACCCAGGCCACATATGCCTGCAGCTGTTGCTGGAAAATGTAAGGTTGAAATAAAGGAAAGGCTCGAGTTAGTCAGACCCCCTGCCCTGCACCCTCTAAGGCAGCATTTGAGATGGGACAACGATGGAAAATCTATACCCAGAGGGAGAAGGAAAGAAAAAGAAAGATGGTAGCATGTCCCCAAATCTCCCAGTTTCGTGCTAATTTCAAGGGACAGACTAACCCCTGACTCGGTCTTATGGTCAGAGGTTATTGGCAGGTGAACATGTTAATGACTACGACTCCTGCCTTCCTGGAATCACATTCTGTTGACTGGGGATAAGGGTTGGGCCCAGAACCTGCTAAATTTGAGTATAATCACTGCTGTCATTGACCCACCCTGCTTGTCAGAAAGAATTCCTTGTGAACCACGTGCACTGTGGGCTGTGACATTCATAGGAATTGATCTTGAGGAACCAGGAGTAAACAATAAGCCAAATCCCCTCTGCAGAGCTGCATTCTGTAGACTGAGATTGAAGTGAAATGATCTCAGAGTCAACCCAAGCCTTATTCTTCTGAGCCCATAATCCTGGGATTAATACAGAGGTAGGTTTAATCCGTGCTTTAAGTTGTCAAAGAGAATCTGAGTTACCCAAGACTTACCCAGAAAAGGAAAAAGACCCTGAAACTAGGAGGCATTTTCATTTCTTTTCAGATGAATCTAAGGCTCAGGATCACATCAGACCCTGTGAGGTCTAGGCAGGGCATATAACTCACCCCAGCCCTCAGACAACTTGACACACTCTATGTTGTTCACTAAGGGGAGTTCAAATTCAGGTCTTTTTTCTGAGGATTTGGTCCGAAGGTGGCCATGAAGTTTCAAACTAGGACATGAAAGCTGTCACCAGTAAGACAGTCATTTTGCCTGATTTCGGTAGTAATCCTGGGCACTCAACCTAAAAATGAAGCTCAAGGGCCAACTATATGACATTATAATTTGGTGAAAATACAGTTGACTCCTAAGCCACAAGTATTCCCTTCAGGGATTGATGATGGTAATTCTTGTGTAAGGATTCAGTCATCTGACCTGGTGACCTACAGGTTAAACCCTTGGCTATTAAGCAAACAGTGGGTGGTTCGAACCAACCAGGGAGGCTCAGTGGGGGAGACAAACCTGGGACTCTGCTCCTGCACAGATGACAGCGCGGTGGCGCAGTTCTGCTGTGTCGCATGGGCCACTGGGAGTCAGAGTTGACTGACCCACATACAACAATCACCATGAGTTGCTTTTTGAGCTTAAATCGCTATTCCTCTCTCTGTTGATTTGTGGGAATAAGTAAAGTTGTTTGTAAGAATGGATCAGGCAAGTCACCTGCTGGCTACTGTAGCAAATGCGATGAAGGGAGGAGACAGAGGGAAGGGAGTGGCATTTACTGAGGACCTGCCATGGACCAAACCCTGTTGGTATGGGTCATACCTACTTCAATGAGTCTGTGAATGTACCTCACACAGTCTGACACAGAAGTGATGCCTACTAAACGGTCGTCATTGTTTTCATCAGCATCTAATTTGGTTCTCACAGAGGCATGGAAAGGTTGGGATTATCTCCCTTTTAGGGATGAGGCACAGAGGTTACATACCGGGAGGGTTCAAAAAGTTCATGGAAAAAGAAAAGTTAATGGAATCCTTCCACGAACTTCTTAATGCCCTCTTGTCCTTCTCCAGTGTCCCCATAGCTAGAACTCAGCAAATCTGACACCAAACTAGTAAACTTGCTGCCATCGATGAGCCAATGCTGACTCATAGCGACCCACTGTGGAGTTCTGAGACGTAACTGTTTACGGGAGTAGCAAACCCATTGTTTTTCCTGAATTGCTGGTGGTGGTTTCAAACTGCCGACCATGCGGACGGATCTCAGACCAACTTGTAACCACTATACTACCAGGGCTCCTAAATCTGGTACCCAAACCCAGGAAATGTCCCAACATTTATTCATAGCCTCCTGCTGTCCAATTTATTCCTTCTGCCTAATGGGCAGACATGTCCCCAGAGGCAGACTGAAGTAGGTAATGCTTCAAAGCCGCCTTCTGCTATACAATCACTGCCTGAGGCAGGTCAGGCAAAGACCACTCTGGTCTGCAGGGAAAGGAGTTTAAACAGAAAAGGCATTGAGGGTAAGAATTGGGATCTGATTACCTGGTTGGTATATAAAACTTCTAGCCAATCTCCTTGAATCTAATACGAGCCTTCAATCTACCTTACACAGATTTCTGCTTAAAACCCTTCAATGGCTCCATTATTCTCAAGATAAAACCCAATCTCCTCGGCTGCCATTCAAGGTTTTCACACTTAAGCCCTTGCTTCCCCTCTAGCTTCATCATCAGCGCAGATCTTCATTTAGTTCCCAGAACGTTACCATGGGATGCCACCTCTCACTCACCATCTCTTCTGAAGCCTCAGCTTAAGCATCACCAGCTCCAGGAAGCCCACCCTAACCCCTTCCCTCACACCACACACACAGAGCTCTGGTTCCTACCCTTTGAGGACTTCCTGTATCATAAAATCAGTTCTGCAACAATTTATTCACCACTAAATGAGTAGCTGTGGGACTGCTAAAAGCCCCATGCCTTCAAGAAACATACAATGAGGAGAGAAAGAGGAGGAGTTGCTGGCAGGCTGGAGGAAATAAACCCTAAGAAGTGTGACAGAAGGTGCTAAGAGACCACTAGTCCAACTGAGGCGTCAGGGAGGCGTCCTGAAGGAGGAGAAGGGGCAAAAGGACTGTGGGCTCAGAAACATGAATATCTGAAATGCAGTCCGTGTAAGGACCACAACAATTCAGATGATTAGATTCGATATTTGGTTTGGGTCAAAGATTCCTTTGTCACATGTCATCAGGTTCAGGTTTAAGGTGACTGCAAAAGTTAAGAATTCAGGGGCAGACAATAACAAGAAAATAATTTAAATAAAAAAACTTGTAATAGAAGCATTTAGAATGTCAACAAAACAGTTCCAACTTTTTTTTTGTGGCAACTACAGAGTGGCATTCAATTAATGAAACAATTATTTCATACAAACTGCACTGAAATACAGTAGTTAGCAACAACAATAACAACCCTAGCTTCCTCTCGGCTGTGAAATGGAAGTCAGTCATCTCTGATGCACAAATGACTCAGAGGTTCCTAAGGGTTACTAACTTCATGCACATTAATCGAAGCTCTGATCTTCCAACAAAAGAGGATGCTAAGTGCATAAATTAAAATAAACATCACCACTTTACTCAATACCTATTCTGTGTCCAGGGCTACGCTAGGACCTTAAAACACATTTTCTCTAATGCTGATCTGTCGAGGAGATTGTATTGTATCAATTTTTCTGTTTGGAAACAGAGACTCAAAAAGGCTGAACTCACTCGTTCAAGGTCACCAGATAGGACATTATGGATATGGGATCCAGGTCGGTCTGACTCTCGGGTCAAAGAATGCTCTTTCCACTTCATCGCACTCTTGTCTAAAGAAATACAGCTTGGAGGCTGGCATGACCTTATTAAAACGATCGGGATTGGAAAAGTCCTTGTTTAACCCAGTTCCCTTCTACCACATCCAATGGCAGAGTACTCTGTATAATACTCGACACAAAGTGACTTTACCACTGAAAGGTGGTTCCTGGACCAGCAGCATCATCGCCACATGGGAACCCGTTAGAAATGCAGGCTCTCAGTCCCAACTCCAGACTTAGAGGTGCAGACGCTGCATTTTATCCAGCTCCCCTCATCATTCACGTGTACATTAATGATTGAGAAGCACCGACCCAGCCCACTGCTCCCAAACCTTGCTGCACATCAAGACCACAAGGGACGCTTTTCAAAAATCGGTATGTGCGGATCTCACAACGAACCGAGGCTTCCAACCAGTTCAAAATGGCTCTGTCCTGGCAGAAGGGAACAAAGGACCGGCATGTGTTGCATGGCAACCAAATATCTTGTCCACTGGATTTTGATCTGAGTAGGAAACGGTCAGCAGCGCTCCTCTCAAAGCTGGCGACTGGAGACACAGTCATGGTGGCCCGTCAGTGCCGTCTGTAAATGCAGCGCCGCTGCCACCTGCTCCTCCGATCAAAATCCACAGCTCCATTGATCTGTGGTTACCATCCAACAGGTATGTTGCCCTTGTTTCCATAGGACATAACGGAAACATCTTGAACTGGTTCAAAGCCTTACCCCTAACTAAGGTGACCCGTTTTTTGGCAGGACAGTCCCGATTTTTGGAAAGAATGCATGACAAGCTAGGTCTATTTGGTCCATATAGACCAAATTTTTAATCAAGAACACCCCACCCCCACCCACCCCCACCCCCGTCAATGGTGTCCTGCTTTAAATCTGGTAAACCCACCAAATATACCAAATTCCCTTTAAGGCAGCGGTTCTCAACCTGTGGGTTGCCCGATTCATAACAGTAGCAAAATGACAGTGATGAAGTAGCAATGAAAATAGTTTTATGGTTGGGGGGAGGTCACCACCACATGAGGAACTATTAAAGCAGCAGTTTTCAACCTGGGGTCGTGACTCCTTTGGGGGTTGAATGATCCTTTCACAGGGGTCACCTAAGACATCAGAAAACACACAAATATTTCACAATATATAATTACATATTGTTTTGTGATTAGTCACTAT